CGAACATGTCGACTAGTCGATGATTGGCTCAACTCGTATTTGTAGTCTACACGAGAAACCGAGTCGACAGCCACTTTGCGACTCATAGACTAGTCGAGCGACTAGTCTAGACTAGTCGTTCGACTCATAATCGTTGGCAAAGAGGGATTTGATAATATGCCCTTAAGTGCCTTCATTGTATTTTGATCTGTTTTCATCTGTTCTCCTTCTCGTGCGACATGGTACTATCTCGAATCCTTAATCTAGAGCCATCCTATAAACTAGTGTTTCATGCAGAAAAGGAGGATAAAACATGCCATAGCACAAGTAGGGGAGGCATATTATCGAACGCATGCGCTTGTGCACCCATGATCCAATACCGTGAATTGTTATTTTGCTGTCCATTTCCTACATGTTTTCTTCTGCTCATGTATTTACATGTGATTTTCCTCATTCAGTTTACTTTTTGTGGTCCTGAAATGTTCCCATTCAGTTTGGATATGAAGTTTATTGAGTGCCTTATTATGTGCCACATGTTTCCTTTCGAATTGTGATTCTAAGGATATCAGACACACAAAATACATCAGGCAAACTGTATTTCTTTCTTGTATATTATGCTTGTGAACAACAATGACAATAACAACAAAGCCTTTAGTTAGCTATCCACATGCCAGAGCATGAGTTGGTTTTGAGATCTTCTTGGTTTCAGCTCTAGCCTACCCCAACTTGTTTGGGACTAACGGCTTTGTTATTGTTGTTGTTGCACACACAAGATATATAGTTTGCCTGGTGTATTTTGTGTCTGATATCCTTGGAATCATTCCGGACCTGATCATTTCTTGTGTGGCCACACATCCATCTGAACATGCACATTTCTGCTACACCCAACTGTTGAACATGTCGCCCTCTAGTCAGCCAACACTCAGTGCCATACAACATTGTGGATCGAATCACTGTCCTGTAGAACCTGCCTTTTAGCTTTTGTGGCACTCTCTTGTCACAGAGAACGCCAGAAGCTTAGCGCCACTTCATCCATCCGGCTTTGATTCGATGGCTCACATCTTCATCGATATTACCATCCTTCTGCAGCATTGACCCCAAACATTGAAAGTTGTCCTTCCGAGTTACCACCTTCAGATCAAGGCTAACCTTCTCCTCGTGCCTAGTAGTACTGAAACCGCACCTCATGTACTCAGTTTTAGTTCTACTAAGCCTAAAACCTTTCAATTCCAAAGTTTGTCTTCATAGCTCTAACTTTCTATTAACCCCCATCCAACTATCATCGATTAGCACCACATCATCCGCAAAGAGCATACACCATGGGATATCTCCTTGTATATCCCTTGTGACCTCATCCATCATCAAGACAACCGGATAAGGGCTCAAAGCTGACCCTTGGTGCAGTCCTATGTGAACCATAGTCTTTGAAGATATTAAAACTTAAATGTTCTTAAAATGGTTATTGATGTTGTCATTTTGCCACTTATTTTTGTTGTCCTTTTGACCATTGAATATAGGAGCATCCTCTTCAAAACACTACTTAATTTTTGTGCCATTATGTCCCAGTAAGTTAGCTAAACTGATTTTTTTTGTGTTCTTGCAGGTTTTTAATAGGGATAGAGTAATGAATATATTTCAGGAAGTAGTTGCTCAGTTGGAACAAGCTTTGCACGACTTTCCATACAATGAACTGGATATATCGGATGAAGTTAGAGAACAGGTAATTTTATCAGCATAACTGAATAGAGTCCCTTTTGGATTGTTGTTGAGCACTGAACTACATTTTTGGTGACACTTAACAATCCTCTCCAGGTTGAGTTAGTGCATGCACAGCTGAAAAGAGCAAAAGAACGGGTTGATATGCCTGATGATGAGTTCTACAACGACCTAATATCTCTGTATAACAAGACCTATGACCCAAGTGCGGAACTGGCTATCCTTGAAAGGTTGTCAGAAAAGCTACACCTCATGACTATCACTGATCTCACGCAAGAGTCACTTGCTCTGCATGAGATGGTGGCATCTGGTGGTGGCCAGGATCCAGGAGAGCACATTGAGAAATTGTCAATGCTACTGAAGAAAATCAAGGACTTTGTGCAAACTAACAACCCTGAGATGGGCCCTCCTATGGCTTCCAAAATAATGGATACCAGTGGGGACCAGAAATCTGTCATCGTTCCTGATGAATTCCGTTGTCCAATTTCTCTCGAGCTGATGAAAGATCCTGTGATAGTTGCTACTGGCCAGGTGAACTAAAATTTGTCAACTAAACTCTAATGCAATTTCAGTACATAATTTGAGATATTTTTTCCTTTTCATTTGCAGACATATGAAAGGTCGTGCATCGAGAAATGGCTAGCATCTGGGCATCACACTTGCCCAACTACGCAACAAAGGATGGCGAACACAACATTGACGGCAAACTATGTCCTTAGAAGTCTCATCTCCCAGTGGTGTGAAACCAACGGAATTGAAGCGCCTAAGCGCTCATCCCAGCCTAGCAAGCCAATGCCAGCATGCTCTTCTAGTGAACGTGCTAACATTGATGCTCTATTATCCAAGTTATGCTCTCCAGACCCTGAGGAGCAGAGGTCAGCTGCTGCAGAGCTTCGCCTCCTCGCAAAGCGGAACGCACACAACCGACTATGCATTGCTGAGGCTGGTGCAATTCCCTTACTATTGAGTCTGTTATCGTCATCTGACTTGCGGACTCAGGAACATGCTGTTACTGCACTTCTGAACCTCTCCATACACGAGGACAACAAGGCAAGCATCATGTCCTCTGGTGCTGTGCCTAGTGTTGTTCATGTGCTGAAGAATGGCAGTATGGAGGCCCGGGAAAATGCTGCAGCCACACTTTTTAGCCTCTCTGTGGTCGATGAATACAAAGTAATGATTGGGGGAACAGGGGCTATCCCTGCCCTTGTAGTGTTGCTAAGTGAGGGCAGCCAGCGGGGTAAGAAAGACGCAGCAGCAGCTCTCTTCAACTTGTGCATTTACCAAGGTAACAAAGGCCGTGCGATACGAGCTGGCCTTGTGCCACTCATCATGGGTCTAGTAACCAACCCCACAGGAGCTCTCATGGACGAGGCTATGGCGATACTCTCAATACTATCCAGCCACCAAGAGGGGAAGGCAGCTATCGGGGCAGCAGAGCCTGTTCCTGCGCTTGTCGAGTTGCTCGGAAGTGGGTCACCGAGAAACAGAGAGAATGCTGCAGCTGTGATGCTGCATCTGTGCAGCGGCGAGCAACAGCTTGTGCATTTAGCCCGTGCGCATGAGTGCGGGATCATGGTTCCGTTGCGGGAGCTGGCATTGAACGGCACAGAAAGGGGAAAGAGGAAGGCAGTGCAGTTGCTCGAGCGGATGAGCAGATTCGTGGTTCAGCAACAAGAGGAACAGGAATCTAATTCTCGGCTGCAGGCCGCCGTGGCACAAGTTCTCCCTCAGGCCCCTGAACAGGTCCAAGAAAGGGACATCCCCGATCAATTGGACAGTCCGGCATCTCAATACCCCACGTTGTTATGAATACAGTGCTGATATTGCCCTACTACCTGTTGGACCTGTTCATCCGTTCGATACTAGCGCAAGTGGGAGTCAATCATGCCAACCAAGAGATGTAATTATGTGACGAGCCTCTACTGCCAGGTGAGGTATTTGAAATTTATAGTTGCGGCCTTCTTCCAGCTTGTAACTGAAGCACTCGTCAGGTTGTCATGGGCATGTCAGCCCAGTCTTGAGGTATGTACAGCTCTTCAATCCACAGTTTCAGATATCATGTAGCCGCAGAACACAAGGTTCTCCAAATGTAGTATATCCTCAGTGTAATAGTAATGATGATTTATGTAAAAGAGAAGATTTTATGGTGGGTTTAACTAGTAAATATTATCATCTCTTTGTACTGTGTCACATTTGCATGTAATATGATTTTATAGCATGTAATTTATTTTATCTGAGACATTATAATTGCACATATACCATTAGTGGTTAAAATGTCATCCTGAACCTCCTAAAAGAACCTACGTTTTGAATCTGAAGAAGTTATACATATTGAGAATATGAGATGCACAATATGCACATTGGTGACACAAGAACTTCACAGAAAATTGCATATCATTTTCCGACAAAAGCTCTACTACTACTACATAAGGCTGCAGTGGCCTGGAGAGTGTAGTAGTACGTAGTACACCAGTGGTGCTAGTGGTAGTCGAGACTGGAGTGGGCCGTGGGTCAAAAGCACCTAGATTGCACTTGCATGCCACGTTCTGAATCTCTGACAAAAATCAAACACGCCCGCAAAGATCACATGACAGGATCTGACTGGACAGCAGGGGCGAGCTCAGCTTCAAGCTGAAGCCGCTGCTTTAGCACTGTTCACCAGATTCGGAGAAGAAGGAGATGGGGAAGAAATTGAAAAAAGAAAGGAGTTGTTTGATTGCGCTTTCTGTTTGTCGCAAGCATCTGTGATCTGTGATCTGTGCTGTCTGACAGCCGCAGTCACCGGCCGGCCGGCCGGCAAAGGCATGCATGGGTTTCCGTGCTCCATGCAGCAAGGCCGGCGCGTATGTGCATGCAGGCTAGGCAGCCTTGGCGTACATACATAACATAGGCTTCTTCTGTAGTTTGGCGGCCTTGATGCATGGCCATCCTTTTTGACTGGTTTTGCTACGGCTGTATCTGGATTAAGATGGATACCATAGTATGTGCACATTCGTTAAAGTATGTTTGTACGTAATGTGAGAGAACCTACCATTGCATTGCATGTCGTCGAGGTCGAGGCACAGACATGTGCACCCGATTAAGCAAAACCTGCAGAGCCACACGCAGCTTTAGTTTTGTCAGCACACTGTCTCGATCTCCATCTCTCTCCAACACTTGCTGATGCAGCAAGATCATGTTCGCATCTTTCTTCTATGTATAATAGAGAGAGAGAGAAAGAGAGAGGAGACGCTTGCATTGCATGATTGTGTATGATCTGTCTAGACGGATAGGGTGTGTGTGGGGCCAGGGAAACAGGGGCTTGTCTTTCTCTTTCTTTGATGTGATATTTTGCATTGGCCTTGGCCGCTTTATTCCCTCCCTCCTGAAGAGGAGAATAGGCTGCCTTGGAGTTAGCGAAAGCAGATCTACCAAAGAACACACAGATTCCCTCTGATGGCGACTGCAGCTACCTAGGCCACTTGCATCATTCCATCGTCACAACACATGAACCGGGCTTAATAATCTCTTGTCCAAATCCTACATCAAACCTCTTGCTTCTCTTCTTGCAATAGAATTGCGTTGGATGAAGCAGAAGCAATTTTTGCAAGGACCGGTGCCTACTGTCCCGCCAAAGCTTCGGATGATGCATGATGCACAAGTCAAGATGCTCGTGATTGTATTATTGTTTACAAAACACCTAAAGTGGCGATGATCTACGAATTGTCGACTAGACGTAAGAAGCATGTCACCGTCGATCGAGCCCGCCAGCGCGCACTACGCGATTAAGTTGATCTTTAATGATGTACGTAAATGTTTTCAAAAAGAGCGGGAGATGTGTGGCTCAAAGCGAGCGATCATTCTGCTGGGATTTCTCTTCCTGTCGTATACGTACGTACCTTTTTCCCATACTAAGACTAAGGTCAGATCTTGGCACATGGATCAGTGACCAGCAGCAGCTAGGGCTACCCTGATCATTGGTGTGAACCGTCGATCGACGGATCGGCCATAATCATTTGATGCGAAAAGCAAATATTCCTCGTTCGATCGCTCATCGAGTGCCCGGAATTCCATCCCATCACCCCCCTCAGTTTGATCATATAGCTAGCCATACATGCAGGGCACTTTATCAAAATTTTCATTTGTTTTTTTTGTCCATGTGATCATTCTCTTCTGCAACGAAAGAATGTTCTTGGCATCGAACGCATTTTCAATGTGTCTTCATGGACGTCTTTTCAAGTTTCGGTCAGTACGTCGTCCTGCCTGCCTGCTGAGAGCTCTGACATTGACTGCCTTTAGATTGGAAGGGCTAGTTTATTGCCGGTTTACATTCTAGATAGGATAAAACGTTGTCTCATGAACGGGACATGCAGATCTCGATAGGCAGCAATTGGTCGTCAGAGCTTGCTATACCAAAATATTGCAACTTTTGACCTAGCTAACCTGGCTACGTACTGTTTGGTTTGATGCCCAAATATGTATATAAATTGAATTCGCAAATATTCGTTCGCGCTTGTTCTTTAATTTGTTGAAGCCAAACCCTGGCCAATTAGATCCCTGGCTCCACCGAACCTGCTTCTTTTTTAATGGAAAACTGTATTTCAAAATCCAAATAAAAAATATGTGTAGCTCACATACTATTTTTATCTTTTTGGATCCACAAATTTATTTTTTTGTGTGTAGCTCACAATTGTTTTTAATAGCCTCTTGCAGACACATTCTACATATACATGTGGACAAAATTTTAAAATTTTCAGACTTCCAAACATGAGATTTGGAAGAAAAAAACTGAAGGGCTCACGAGGTAAATGATGCTCTCCACTTTCTTAATAGGCATATGCATCATGTTGTGTTTGAATTAGTTACAGTTTTGTAACTTTTGGAAAATCCAAAAAGACTCCAATTTTGTGTATTGGGCTCAAGGTGCGTGTCACCATTTTTTGTGACTGGCCAATCGCTTGCAATTGGTACCTACTGAAATCAAACAAAAACACATATTTGTTAGCCGTAAAACTTCATCGTAAATGTGGCCTGTAGGATTGTTTAATCTGGACAGATCAGTTCATGCAGTTCATAAGATCAAGAAAGGATTGTAGGGGGCATACATAGAAGTAACTAGGCACACACAGTGAAGAGCCAAGAGGAGATACCACATATCTTATGGGACCCTTGGCTTTCGGAGAACTAGATGCTAATCATCCTGATTTGGGGACAGATGTAGGCAGTACACAGTGACACTAGCTCTTGCCAATTTGAGCTAGAGAATCTAGACCAAATATTCAATGTCACAATGATCTAGCTGGTTTTTAGCACGAAAATTGATGAGCGCTTAACTATTGTGATTGTCCAAATATTGCTTCCTCGCTGGATTTCTCCAATGGGTCAATTGTTTTTACAGGGAATTTTATCAGCTGAAATAAGCATGTGAATGAGTCACATGGTATTCCTTACAATTATTTCTTCCATACTACCTCCATTTCACAAGCGCATACCTAGCTTAGGAGGCGCAAAATTGAGGTAAAACTTGATTCAGGCGAATCATATATACTTGCTTTGATTGGATAAAATTAGTATTTTATTCTATCTAACTGCAGGATCAAGCATATATAGTTCAGTTCCATCAAATATGGCATAGCCTTGTAATTTAGTTATGCAATTGGAGCTCATTCCAAACAGAAACACATCAACCTAGCCCCCAATGACTATCAAAGGTAAACAAGCAATTGGCCTCTCCCAGCAGCAACAAGTTAAAAACAAGCAGTCTTAATCAATAACCACCAATGTATTGCCAATTTCATGCCTAAACATGGAAGCATACAAACAAGTTAATTCCTCCTATCCATATACATTAGCAACACTCTTAACGAC